CATTCACCAGTACTCTGCCAGCATTCACCTGGGCTCTACTGTAGCTCTACCGGCTGTATCATACCCCGGATCATCCCCAGTTTGTGCCGGCAGAGCTACGTTGCTTCCCCTGTGTAACCCCGGTTATACCCGGCAGAGCTAAGGATGAAGCAGGCAAAGCTATACTTCCCGGATCACTCGGACCACCCCGGTGATATTAAATATTTTATTCCATCTGGGGTCGAATGCTGGATGTTTCCGGTGACATCAGGTCCATATGGGAATATATGGTTGGACTCGGTAGCTGAAGGTGCAATTCCCGGTATGAGACTATCCTGTTGGACTAAGTAGATGTAGGTTCATATGGGAATATATGGTTGTACTAGGTAGATGTAGGTTTATATGGGAATATATGGTTGTACTAGGTAGATGTAGGTTTCTATGGGAAAATATGGCTGTACTAGGTAGATGTAGGTTTATATTGGAATATCCTGTTGAACTCTGTAGATGTAGGTTTATATGGGAATATATGGATGGACTAGGTAGATGTAGATTTATATGAGAATATCCAGTTTGAGTAGGTAAATGTAGATTCATATGGGAAAACAAGTTGGACTAGGTTACTGCAGGTTTATATGGGAATAACTGGTTAAACTAGGTAGCTCTAGGTTCATTTATGGGAATATCAAGATGGAATAGAAAGATATAGGTACAAATTGGAAAAACAAGTTGGACTAGGTTAAATTAGAATATTAAACTGGATGAACTAGGTTGCTACAGGTTCCAGTTGGACTAGGTAGCTACAGGTTGATATTGGAATATCTGGTTGGACTAGCTATATATATAGGTAGTTTTAAAATTATATGGGAATATCTGGTTGTTCTGGGTATATGTAGGTTTATGTGGGTATACAGTTGAAGTAAAGGTATTTGCAGGTTGATATGGGAATTTTCTTATTGTACTAGGTAGCTGTAGTTTATAAGGGAATATGCGGTTCGACTAGATTGCTAATTTGCTACAGGTTAATATGGGAATATGTGAATGGAATGTTGAGGGAGGGCTATTTACAAGGCTCTGGCAAGTAACCACAAACTAACAATATCCTTATATGCTGATATACAGTAACATGTGTGTTCCTGGGGCCAGTGTCTTACATATTTGCATATTAATAATAGTTGGAAAAGAAATAAAACAATATACATTTATTTTCATTAATCATAAACTAGTTTTTTCTGATAAAATTTTTTTTTTATTATCTTATTAAAGAGTTACAGCTGACATAATCAATCCATTTGAAATGTTAACATCACTTTAAATTTTTTTGGCATGAAATTTTATGGTATTGTCAAAATGGGACTTTATAAGCTTATTATAAAAGAAAGGTCCTCTCTCATAGATTACAAATTCTATAATAAAAGTTTGGAGTAGATTCTTAAAGAATCCATTTGATTTTAAAGAAAACAAATGTTTTTCTCAAAAAGCACTTAAGATACCTATGATTTAGATCCATTTTCTTAGAATTTATTCTAAAATTTCTATTTTGTAAAAGCTTTAAGAAATGTTCTTTCCCAGTATTATATATATAATAAGTCTTATATTTGTTGAATGAACTTGCATTCAAGATGTATGTCTTTTTAGAGAGAACATTGGAACAATTCAACATTTGTTTTAACAATGCTTTTAAGGCAAAATGTATAATTATACTATAATGTATAAAAGCATTTTTTTTCGTGAACAATAATCCCTGAAATACAGTGTGATGTCCTATAGACTAATGTTATAATGTATGTGAGACCACCATAGTATATATGTATGTTGTATGTAATAGGATACCGGGACTTCCGGAAAAACATGGAACCTTAGTAAACACGATTAAACCAGAAACATAGTTGTTATCAATTAATATCCACCATTAGGACTTATCATCTGGCGACGAGGATAAAAACAAACAAAACGGAATTACTTATATAATATTTGGATATATTTTTCATGTGTTAATTGATGGATTAAGACGTTAACCATGAACAATTTACCAGCATTTCCAAGTTTTGATCTTGAAACGGATAAATCCAATGCAGGCACGCGTTGGGAGAAATGGATTGGGCGCCTCGAAAATTTATTTGTGGGGATGAAAATATCAAACGCTGACCAGAGAAGAGCATTATTACTACATTACGCCGGAGAAAAAGTGTACGACATCTATGACGTAGAGAAAAAGGACAGCGCAGCGACTTATGACGCAACAAAAAAGGTACTTAGCGACTATTTTGCTCCCAGAAAGAACGTTCAAATTGAAATTTACAACTTTAGATCATACAAGCAATTAGAAGCACAAACGATTGATGAATATGTGACTGAGTTAAGAACTTTGGCAAAGAACTGTGCATTCGCAGACATTGACAATGAAATTTTACAACAAGTGATACAACATGGCCGCTCAAATCAACTCAGAAGAAGAGCGTTACGTGAACCAGATAAAAAAACTCGATGACATTATTACAATGGGACGTATGTTTGAACAATCAGATATGCAAGCATCCGCAATGGAAAATTCAGAAAATTCTAGATCTGTACACAAGGTTTCAAGTTCAATAGTAGAAACACGAGGACGAGCGCCGATGCCTCATGGCCGTGGGAACAGTAGAGGTCGTATGCAAATTTTGGAGGTCGTGGGAAATATGGTCCGAAGAACCAATCGAATCAACGAAGTAGACCACGTGATGGTGCGTCAGCCAATACTTGCAGAAAATGTGGTTATGAATTCCCGCACAGAGATAAGCCGTGCCCAGCCACAGGTAAAACCTGCAATGTATGCAAGAAACCTAATCATTTCGCGCGCTGCTGTTTAGCGCCGAAATATCAGCATGTCAAAGAGGTCAGCGATAACGCCAGCAGTTCGCTACAGTTCGATTCGAAAGAGGAGTACCTCTATAACATCACAGTGAAAAATGTCGGTAAAAAAAAAGGATCAAAAAACGCCCAAAACACAGATAAAAGTCAACGATAAAACGATTACGGCTACAATAGACACAGGATCAAGTGTGAATATACTAGATGAAACACGTATGATTACTTAGGAAAACCTAAAATAAAAACAAAAGGGCTGCCAAATTTACTTCCATACGGAGGGGGAAGTGCATTAAACGTAAAGGGCTGTGTGAATTTAACGGTCGAGAAAAGAACAGAAAATACACAGTAACACCATTTTATATTGTGAAGGAAACTATGGAGCTCTATTAGGGTGTGAAACATCATGTGAATTAGAAAATAATAAAAATAAACCAAGGGATAACGGCCAATATGGAAGATAAATATCAAGGAATTTATGACGGTATTGGGAAGTTAAAAGGACAAAAAGTCAAATTACACATAAACCGTGATGTAAAACCTGTAGCGCAGAGAAATCGACGTACGCCATTTCATTTAAGAAAGAAAGTTCAAAAGGAAATTGAAAAAGCTACTTGAAAATGACATCATAGAAGAAGTTAAAATGAATCAACACCATGGGTGTCACCGATTGTCACCCCCCGAAGAAAAAATGGAGATGTAAGATTATGCATAGACATGAGAGAGGCAAACAAAAGCTATTGAAAGAGAACGGCATCCAATGCCAACAATAGATGAACTTATACACGACCATGAACGGTGCAAAAGTGTTCAGCAAACTAGATTTAAAAAGCTGGATATAATCAGCTGGAATTAGATGAAGAATCGAGATCAATCACTACATTCTCTACACACATGGGCTTATACAGATATAAACGTTTGAATTTCGGTACTAACTCTGCAAGTGAAGTGTTTCAGAAAACAATCAGTTCTATCATTCAAGACATAGCTGGTGCCAAGAATATTTCGGATGATATAATAGTGTATGGAAACAGTCAAAAAGATCACGACAAGCAACTTGATCAAGTTTTTCATGCATTGCATCATAACGGGCTGACATTAAATAGAGAAAAATGTGAATTTAACAAGCTTGAAATCACATTCTTTGGAGTTGTATTTCAGAGGAGATGGTGCATTTCACCAGATCCAGTGAAGGTTCGAGAGCAGTGAGAGACATGCAACAGCCCACAAAACGTATCTGAATTGAGGAGTTTTCTCGGAATGACATCGTATTGCTCGAGATTTTAAAGGATTATGCGACAATAACGGAACCATTGAGGCGTTTAACAAAAAAGGACACACTCTGGTCATGGGAAATGATCAGCAAGTCGCGTTCGAGAAACTGAAAAGAGAATAAGTAGTGATACGGTTATCACATACTTTAGTCCATTAAAAGAAATTGAGCTAATAGTAGATGCTTCACAGTCGGTATATCTGGATACTCACACAGGAAGGAAAAATTATCGCGTACGCGTCTCGTGCACTGACACAGACAGAATCACGTTTACTCACAAACAGAAAGAGAGGCTCTGGCAGTAGTATGCGTCGTGTGAGCACTATTCGATGTACTTAAGAGGTGCTCCAACTTTCACGTGCTTCACAGATCACATGCCCACTCGGACGAAAATATGGCAGAAGAAACAGCCACCACTACGAATTGAACGATGGGGATTACGTCTACAACCATTTAATGTATGAATACAGGCTTGGAAAGGATAACCCGTCTGATTACATGTCTCGTCATCCGTTGAAATGTGACGAGCAGAGAAATATAGCGGAGGAATATGTAGCATTCGTTTCCGCACAGGCAGTGCCAAATGCAATGACACTAGATGAAGTAAAATTAGAATCAGTCAAAGATAAAACTATACAGAAAGCGATTGAATACGCAAAGAATGGAAAATGGCATGAAATGAAAACAGTGACAGATTTTAAAATCGACATGGAAGAGCTGGGTGGTACTCAGAAGCGTAAAAGATGAATTGACGGTTCACAATGACACGGTCTTATTAAGAAATGACAAATTAGTGATACGAAAACACTCCGAAATCGTGCGATAAAAACTGGGACATGAAGGGCACCAGGGAATTGTTAAAACTAAAAGCTATATACGATCAAAGGTATGGTTTCCGAACATGAATGCAGAAATTGAAACAGCAATAACAAAAATGTCTAGCCTGTCAAGCCAACTCAAGGGAACCAAACCGCGAGAACCACTGAAAATGTCAGATTTGCCATCTGGACCTTGGAAAAATATAAGTGCAGATTTTTGTGGACCTCTAGAAAACGGTGATTACCTATTGGTTGTAGTAGACGAGTACTCGCGATATCCAATAGTGGAAATAGTAAAGAGTGTTTCAGCAAATATGGTCATACCGGTTATGGACAAAATAATTTCAATGTTTGGTGTCCCCAAAGTGATTAAAACAGATAATGGATCGCCATTTAATAGTACGGCATTTGCGGACTTTGCAAAATTTACGGTTTTATACACAGAAAAATCACGCCTAGGTGGCCAAGGGCTAATGCTCAGGCAGAAGCATTCACAAACCGTGATGAAGAGTGTTAAATCGGCATTCATGGAGGGAAGGAATTACAAACAAGAACTGTTCAGATTTTCTTCGCCAGTACAGAGCTACACCGCACGTGTCAACTGGATTTACGCCATTTCGGCTAATGTTCCGAAGGGAACCGGTAACGCGTATGCCAGACATTAATCAACACCAAAATGAGGACACGCGTGCAGACGAAATAGCACGAAGAAATGATGAGTTATCAAAAAGCAAAATCAAAACAATACGAGGACCAGCGAATGATCGCACGAGAACAAAACATTAACGTCGAAGACAGAGTTTTACTTAGAACGAAACACCAAGAAAGTCAAGTACAATGTATAATCCAGTCCCATATAAAGTTATAAACAAAAAGGGACCAATGATAAGTGTTCGAATGATGAAGGACATTGTGTCACCAGGAACTCATCTGTTATGAAAACAGTAGATCCAGACTTAATGGGGAATACGCCTAAAACAGCACGGGGAAAGCGATATTGAGGACTATCAGGGGGAGGAACTCGCTGAAAGACAAAAACACGAGTTATGCGGCAAGGCCAGCACGAGATAGTCGTCCGCCCGCATATTTAAAAGATTTGTAAGTTAGATTATTGGTTCCACAGTGAAAATGGCATAATAAACCCAGTGGAACAAGCAGGTCACGCGATCTGCCATGCGAGTTTAATAAGTGTATACATCATGGATATATTTTATGTAATTAGATTCTCAATAGAAAAATTAATACGTAATAGCGCAATAGTAACATGACACTTATATACGGCAACATGATTTTAAATGACAATTTTTAAAGTACATTGAAGTTCTAATATAGTGTGGACATTAACAATGCATTTAACAACAAATATTTAAGAGAAAAATAAACAAATTATCAGATTTAGAACAAAATAAATATTCATGTTTGTATAGTGTAAATGTTCGATATTGCTCATGTAGTGGATATATTTAGATACTGCAGACTATAGTAAAACTGACCTACAAACGATTGAAATGTGTTAACAGCCATGAGTGAACATTTCTAGAGAAAAAAAGTTAGGATGAATTTTACAGTTAGATTCATTATATGTATTCCATCGTAATCAAATAATTGTAAGAATAGTTTATCATGTTTAGTAATATCAGTTTACATAACTATAATATAATATTTTCCATAATTCATATCTTAATGATTTAAGCATTTTGATTGTTCAATTTAAAACTGATGTTTTATATCTAACTTGAGGAGGGATGTGATGTCCTATAGACTAGTGTTATAATGTATGTGAGACTCCACCATAGTATATATGTATGTTGTATGTAATAGGATACGGGGACTTCCGGAAAAAAACTGGAACCTTAGTAAACACGATTAAACAGAAACATAGTTGTTATCAATTAATATCCACCATTAGGACTTATCATACAGCAAATAGATAAGTTCTAGAGAAAATACATCTGCTGAAATATTGAATTGAAATGACTTCTGTCAACATGGGCATGTTTTTTTTTTTCAATTTAAACATATTATTTGATGTTTTAACATTTTTACTGGGAAAATATTTACAACAGCGCTGTTTCATATTAATTTTGTTTTTCACAATTTTTTGGCCATTATTGGATTACCATTAATGCTGGACCTGGAAAAGTGCACACCCTTTTCCAAAGGTCATTCTTCAAATGTATAAAAAATTAAAAATAGACTGTTCCAAAATGAAAGATGAACATTTTAGCTGATCTATTGTGAAGAATAATGTATGATATAGAATTATATGAAATTTAAGCAGTAGAAAAGACATAACATTCAATGTTCAATATCTGAGTACAAATTAAACATATATTAAGACCCAACATTTTAAATCAGATGTTGGTAAGAAAAACCTTTGTAATAGGGCTGCATTTTAGTAAACGTTCTCAGTTTTTATTGCCCTTTTCGCTTATTCACCGTACCTTATTTTTTAGAGTTAATTTGATTGGTGCTTTCGGTTTAATTCTATATTTTTCATTGGTCGACTTGATTGAAATCATTCGATTAGTTTAGAACTTGTTATGAGTAATTTTGACCAATCAATCTTATAGTTAAGCATTGTCATGACTACCAAAAGTGTATAAATACCGGCCACAGTGAATTTCTATATTTCTTGTCTTGGGAGCTGGCCGACAGGTCAGTTCACTTCAAAGCTTTAGAGCTTTGGCACTCTTTCAAAACTTAATAGTTTTGACTCTTTGAAATCTATATGATTTGAGAATTTAGGCTAAACTTATTAATAAATACTTGGAAATTCTTTTTAAATAAATAACTCGTTGTTGGTAGATTCTGCTTAAATATATAGTCTTATTCATACTTTTGGTAAATAAGTTATACGATTGTCGTTTAAATAAGTCTATGATTATCGTTTGAATAAATCTCGTAATGTTAAATTTATAAAGTCTTGTGTTATACTTTCTTAATAAGAGTAAATTAAAGGTAGCGTCCTACACCACCATCCTAGCCACTGGTTGGCAATTAAGAGTTCAGAGAACCTGGGTAAAGTGCCGTTTAAAGATATATTTGTGATCACGTGTCGTCCGCAGAGTAATTAAGCCATTTATATTTTAAGTCTATCCAGAGCGCCACTGAGTGTTGGGCTCGAATCAGCTTGAACCACTGATAATAAACCGGCACTATTACACCTTTCAATCTATTCTTTAAGTCTTTCTTTGGACAAATGAAAAATTTTGTACGTAAAAGGAATGATGGGAATATTTGCTTGTCACAAAATCTGGTATAAATAAACAAAAAACAGTAAAACATTTTGGCATTGGAAATGATTCCTTTTACCATGCAGAGGTAATTTATAGAATAAAAAAAAGCTCTTGCAAGTAATTGTACTCCCCAGAAACCTAACTTCTTGGTATCTTGACTGTTAAAATGTTATTTCTGTGACATTAAAATATTTAAGATAATATTTTTTATCAGCTATTGATTGCTTTTTTGTATGTGAGAAGGTAATCTTTTCAATTATTCCGACACAACATCTCCCATGTGTTGTCATATGAACACTATCATCGTGTCCTTCATTTTTTTGCTTTGTTATATTTACATCACTTTGGGTTTATTGGGATTGTCATCTGTCCTTTCTTATTACCCGTGTTACACTCTTCAGAAAGGTAGTATTTATAGATGAAATACAATATAATAGAATGAATATTGATATATGTAAACATGTATAGTTATGCTAAATGCTTTCTGTAATGCCTAAATTAACATAATCACAGATATACATGCTTATATTAAGCTCCATGATTATTTACATCAGTGTTAAACAACAGGTTTACCATGAACAAAATATCTCGAAATTAATGATTACAAACCTGAATTTAGAATAAAGTGGTTTGCTTCAGGCAGTTTCTTATAACTTTCCCGTGGTCCAGGGGTTACATGCTTGTTTAGGAACCGAGAGGTCTGGGGTTCAAACCCCACTTTAGGCAATTCATGTTGTTGTTTTTTGTTTTTTTTTGTTTTTTTTAATAAACATTGAATTGAATATCAGTGTTGCAATTAGCCTTATAGCCAATTTACTACCATTATAACACTGGAAACAGCATTTCTGGCACTATACAAAAACAAATCGGTTTATAATCTCACAACCTTCACCTTTCTGACATTCTGAGACCCAAACAAATTCAGCGCCTTCTGTGCTTTGATTTAGAATTGTAATGCAATTTTATAACTGAAGTTTTGGATACTTTTATAGCAGCTTCTTTGTAATATTGGACCATTGTAATATTGTATCTTATATCAAATGCCGCTGGTGAAAATGTGATTTCAGAAAAAACAATTCTTAATATGCAGTGTAATAAGTTTGTTATAAAGATTTTTTGTCAGGTTATATGACCCTGTATTAAGAGCTCGGGTTATTTTACCTTGCACTTTTATATTATTAGTTGTAAAGATTTTTGACCGGTTATATGGCTGTATAATAATTGACAAATTATCTGAACCATGATTTTCATCTTTTGCTTTTTGGCATTTTTTACAGTTATAGTAATTTTATATTCTGTGTGGAAATCAAAGTACTAAATTGTTTACATTTTGCTACATTTATGACAAATGAATTCACAATAAGCACCACTTTCTCAAGGTAGCAAAACTCTAACAGTCATGCTCTAAAAACATAATTTAAATGTTGCAATACTCCAATCATTCTTTTTAAAGAAGTTGTAATCTTTCTGAGGCAATAAGTGCCTTTAAGCTAGATTACCATCATGCAGTTGTTAAGATTTTTGACAGGTTAATAGTAGACATTTGCAACATAATGTCGGGAACGTTGATATTGAGGGGTCATCTCAACACATATTATTAACAATAAGGCCAGGATATCTTACTGTGTTTCTTTCCTTACATCTTAATTTTCATTTTAGTAATTGCAAGACTTTTTTCATAAGCTCAACCAAAGGTCGTTTGCGTTGACGGTTGTTTTGTCTAGTGCGCTGACGTGCATCAATAGTTTCGTCAAAACGTTTGGCAGCTTGAGCACAGACATCTTGACGTCTTGACTACGGCCTCGGTTGTGCAGTTCACGTGGGACTGGTCCTCGTTCGAGTTGTCTCGGGACTAGGTCCGAGCGAAGTTGCTGGTCAGCTGTCCATGTTTGCCCTCATTTATACATCTGTTAAGATTTATCGGAGCTTGACCAAGCAATGACTGCTGCATGTGAGCTGTTTATGCTTGCCCTTGGTTTAGATGCCCGTAGGGACTGTACTTAACTGTTGTTTTTTTGCACTAAATCCTTAACTCAAAAGACGTCTTTCAAGACGTTGTATACGGCCTAAAGCGCTGGCAATAATTTGAAAATATTGAAATGTGAAATTGAAACGGAGTGAGTTACTGAATCGGAGTTTAACGCGATATTTATATAGTGTTTATAGTGTTTATAATAGTGTTGCTTTATCTTTCTGGTCCTTTAGGATAATTGAGTCCAGAACTTTTAAGTGTTGAGAGTAGAGTCCCGCTTAAGCCGATGCTAGGGGACGTGAGGGTTGTTGCACTTTTTATTATCCATCATGTACAACCCAATCAAACCGAGTTTGCATTTTCATGATTTCTTTTGCTGTTTTTAATGCTTCCGAGGGATCACTTTTTTCCAGATATTTCAACACTTTTTAGTCATATACTGATAGTCCGTCTA